GCCGTGAGCCCTGTGGCTGTCTTCGATTGGCGGGCGCCGTGTTTGCTGCTTCTGCGGGTGCCTTCTTTCGTTGGCAGGCGCCGCCGCTCCGGGGGCATGAGCTCTCCCGCGCCCCGCGTGGGCTTCCGCCGGGCACGCCCCGCGCCCCATAGTGTTTTCATAACACACGTTTTCCAGGAACTTTTTGAAGATCCCTAATAATTTAGTAATAAACTATAGATCAATTTCTCTTTCAACATTTAATAAATGAAAAATTTAACACCCTACTTTTAAAAAAATGACTCTAGAGTACTTAGGTTGAATTAGTTTTTGACTGCGTGTCCTGACACTTCACGTTAATAAATGAATTCTCTCAATGAAAAACGTCCATTTGTTCTGGCATAGATACTAGGATAAGCTTAGTTTCATACGTTTTTCCAGTATATTTAACAATGAGGCTGTTCTCATTTCACACAGGATAGAACATACAATGAAGACTGTCAGTGAACGCCAGAGGGTCTCCTGTTACAATTAAGACCAAGGCCAGGCAGCAGAGAAACAAGGGAGACCAGGCTTCACAAACATGGAGGAAGCTGATTTTTCAGAGGATACAACTTACGAGCAACAGGAGGATTTACCTTACGACGGGGATCTCTCCCGAATAAAAACGTGCAACGACTTCAGTTTTACTTCTAATAATGACACTCTGGATGTCCCAAATCCAATGATTTCAGCAGTAGATGACCCTCCAGGAGCAACTTGCAGACACACAGTGACAGCCATGACTCTGGGTGAAATGAGTGAAAATGCTGTCAACAACACATACGATAAAGAGAAGCAATGCGGTGTAACTCTTCACATTTTCGATAATAAAGGAGACACTTGGAAGTCAAACATTTCTGACATTTTACGCCATCATCTTTCCAAAGAGCAGTTCTTAAGAGGTCAAGGCATTGACTGTGAAACGCTCCCAGAGATTTCCAAGGCTGACAGTTTGGATGAGGCATCTATTATCAAAGATATTATTTTGCGTTATAAGAATTCTTGGCCAAAAAAACAAACCCCAGAAGTCTCTGATCTGCTCAACCCCAGAAGGGATGATGAAAACAGCAATAAACCCAGTTGTTCTCCGATTCTGATCAAAGAAAATACCTCTCATTTAGAAGGTCCCGTGACTGCTGGAGGCAGCAACCATCAAGAAGATCCAAATTTTCTAGCTAAAATCAGGGCGTCAAGCAATAAACAAAATAGTTACCAAGGGCAGGCACCCCAGAAACAGCAGGCTGAAAAGGCAAGTTCAAGCAATGGGTTCAAGTATGGCCAAGGTCAAGTTCATTACCAGCTCCCTGATTTCTCTAGGGTTGCTCCCAAAGTAAAAATTCCTAAAAATAACATAATTAATAAGCCACTTTCAGTAGTTACACAAGCCAGCTCTCCTGTTCAATTGAGAAATAAGTTAGCTGTCGTGCGAGATAGTTTAGAAACAACGTCTAGGTCAAACTGTCTTGAAAAGCAACACCAAGAGCACAAAAAGATAATGACGGACCTTTCACAAATTCAGGTAAACACAAATTGTCTCCTGTAAATATAGTACATCACTGTGGCCACTGCCCGTCTCTATCATCGTGGGTTTTTAGAGGGTGCATGGACCTTAGTTCTAGTTCTAGAGTTTCATTCAGCTGTTTGGCTCACCCTCGGTGAGTGACTTGACTTCTCAGGAACCTGGTGGTGTCTTCATGAGAAGAATCAGGAGTTGGACTAACAAAAATACACAAAAGGAGTTTGCTGCATGACAGAAGTAATGCACTGCTGAAGAGAAGTGGGATCCCAGGGTCAGCAGGTGACATGGTAGTTAAGGCACTGGACTCCTACATGGCCAACTCTGGTTTGAGTCTTGGACCCAGTGGCTTACTTTCTCACTTTCCCTCTCTCTTTCTCAGTCTCTGCCTCTCTTTGGTGAGTGTGTGTGCCCTATAGCAAACTTTAAAAAAAAATAAATTATTATTATTTTTAAAGAATTATTTTCTTGGGACCAGCAGTTAGCGTAATGGCTATGTCGCTGGACTCCCATGTAGTCGACCGCGATTCGCGTCCCGGACCTGGTGGCTTAAAACTCACGCCGGGTGAGTGTGCGTGTGTGCCCAAGATCCTGAGAGGAGAATGGAGGAGAAGGGATTGCAGCGTGACCATCTCCCCTGGGGGGTGATTTTTCACTTTCTGTCTCTATGTCTCTCTCTCTCTGTCTGGCAAGCGCTTGTGCCCTATAGCGAAAAAAAACCTCTGCAAAAAAAAAAAAAAAAGAATTATTTTCTTTAACTTTATTTATTTATTTATTTTAATTTGACCAGAGAGGGACAGAGCAAGAGCAAGAGAGAGGGAAAGTGAGAAAGCAAGCTGCCAGGTCCATGTCTCGAACCATGGTTGGCCATGTGGGAGTCCAGCTCCCTTAACCACCATGCCACCTGCCAGCTCCCTAAAATTAATTATTAAAAAGAGAGAGAGAGAGAGCGAGAGAGAGAGAGAGAAGTTAGGTCCCACTTGACAACCATGGTTCAAATACCCGGCCAGGTTAGCCTGAAACATACCAGGCATGCATGCCTGTACCCAAGAGCCAATGCATTGGAGGAATGGAGGAAGGGGATCGCCAAATTCTGTAGAGGGTGTTCCTCTCTCTCTCTCTCTCTCTGCTTTCTCTCTTTCATGCACATGCTTGTGCTCTATCATGAGCAAAGAAAAAATACATAGGAAAACAAAATTCAAATTCCTCAAGTTGGAATTTAGGCCTCTCCATTTGTTAAAAGCTTCAGCCCAGCCTTCTAAACTTAGCCCCCTTCCCTGTGGAGTTACTCTTGAATACCTGGCTGCTCCCCAACCTTTCTCAGGCCCTGAACTCTCTGAGCACCCACCTTGAACATCTCACCCCTACTTACCAAAGACCCGCTTGTTTTCATGGCCCCCTTCGACTCCCTGCTGGGCCACATAACTTTTGAAATCTCCCAAGTCACTCTCTTTCCATCCTTGCTGTTTAGCACGCCTGTCAGAGCATTTATCTCAGCCTGCTTTGGATCATCATAAATCGTCTCTGTCTGCCTCTTCTACCAGATTTGAAAATTCTGGAGGGCAGCAATTATTTTCATCTCTCCATTGCTCACGTCACTGGAAGGCCTGGCATCACAAGCAATGCCGTGTAGCGCTTCATATTTCAGATAATAAAGCAGACACTTCAAGGAGTTCTTATTGCTAAAGTGAATGGAATGGAGATCTTTAAAAAAAAAAAAAAGAATTATTTTATTTAACTTTATTTATTTTATTTGACCAGAGTGAGTGAGTGAGAGAGAGAGTGAGAAAACAGGCTGCCAGGTCCAGGACTTCAACCGTGGTCGGCCATGTGGGAGTCCAACTCCCTTAACCACCATGCCATCTGCCAGCCCCTGAATCAAGATCTTTAATAACGTATGATGAACATGTTAGATTGGTAAATATTTAGTACAAAACTTTGTTCATGCTTAATTAATGTTCTTTCCTTTTTTCCTATTAGTCACCTTCTCATCCCCCAGCTAACTTTCCACCGTGCTAAGGCTCAGGATCTCATGAATCCTTTGAGGTTTAACAGTAAATTCACGTGAATGATCCAACTACACATTCTTGGTAGTTCATGGTGCTTTGCCGGCAGGATTGTATGCTCTTTCTTTTAAGCCTTCTATGAGGGGGTCTTTAAAATTAATGGAAAATGCATAATATAAAAAATGCTACACGAATGTCGACACACTTTTTGGTACCAAAACAAACTCCTACTTTAATTCCATTTTATTTTGTATTTTATTTATTTTCATAGCTAGAGGGCATGTGTGCTTGCTAGAGAGAGAAAGAGGGAGAGACGATAGCACCCATCAGTGGGGTGTGGTCACGCTGCAATGCTTTTACCTCTATTTCTTTATTCTGTTAAGATTTGGGGCACACAAGATGCATGCTTACCACGATTTTCAAGATGTCAGGGCTGGGATTCAAACCACAGTTGGCCATGTGAGATCTGGCTCCCTGTGCACAGTGAGTGCTTAACCACTGTGCTATGGGGCCAGTCCCTATTCGATTTTCCACAAACTTTCAGACATTTCCTCGTATTAAGGACATCCTAGACTGAGCAATACTGCTTGTTTCTATTTCCCTTCATGCGTCAATGCGCCCTCTTTCAGCTGAAAGTTCCGGGAAGTTTGAGCAGGTTATGTTAACCACAGTTCACACACACACACGCACACGCACACGCACACGCACACAGCCTTGATGAGAAGAAAACTCGACACGCATTGTGGAACTGAATGCGTACCGCGTTATTATCTCGGGCACGGCTGCCGTGTGTTTGGTGTTAGTGAGGAAACTGGCAACAGAGCTGGTGACAAGATCAACAATGGTCCCTGCCCTCCTGGAGCTTCTGGTCTAGTGTTAGAGACGTTTGCATATTCCACATCCTAATACCAAACAGGAGAGTAAGACCTATTAACATGATTATTAAGTGCTTACCACATGCCTGATATCTCCTTAAGTATTTAACATTAATTCTCATAGCAACCCTGTGAGGTAGGTCTATGACTATCCCCTTTTACTGTTAAGGAATTTGGCTTACAGAGCTGAGGCAGTCACCCGGGTCACCCGGCAGGTAAGTGTCAGAATGGAACTCAGCCTTGGCATCATGGCCCCCACTCCTTTTTATAAAAAAAAAAATTAATTTTTATTTAACTTTCTTTCTTTCTTTCTTTCTTTCTTTCTTTCTTTCTTTCTTTCTTTCTTTCTTTTCTTCCTTCCTTCCTTCCTTCCTTCCTTCCTTCCTTCCTTCTTTCTTTCTTTCTTCCTTTCTTTCTTTCTTTCTTTCTTTCTTTCTTTCTTTCTTTCTTTCTTTCTTTCT